GAGGGAAGATAAAACATTTACTTTTTTTTTTTTTGCACTGACATGGACTACTACACTGCCTACATATCAAAGTCAAAAGCTGGTTTTCAGATAGCAATCATGGCACCATTTTTATTAGAACCCTTGCTTTGATCACCACTCCTACCTCACATACCCTCCTGTTCAAAGAGAGAGAGAGAGAGAGAATTTCTCCTTAATGCTACACATCACATCCACACCTATGATAATGGTTATTGGTTATATCCATCCAAGGAGGTTCTCTGTGTAGCATTACAGGCATGCCCCAAATTGTTTCCAATGTATCAGCCCAACCATCTTCCTTCATCAAGTGAGCAGACCTGGCTTCCCACCGATGGGCCAGAATGTCTTAGTTTACTGAAACTTAACAGGGATGTCTCCAAAGGTGTATTATCCACCTGCACCCTCAACAACCACCTACCCATTTACAAGGCTTGCCGGGTTGTCTTTAAGCGAGCTCTTATCGCTCATTCCTTTTATAAGCAATGCGTTTTGTCCCGGATTCAATGTGCGTGGGGGGCGTTGGGGGCGGGTCACTGGATGTTATAAGCAGAAAAAACTTATACGGCAGGTTTTGAAAAGATACACGTGCACCCGACACGCTCCTAGAAACTTCGGCAAAACCAGGCTTGGCTGAAACCCTACGCACACCGAGGGATGGATGGGACATAATGCCCAAGAAGCATGCCCCGGTTTCGCACGTTTCCTGCCCTTCCCGTGACCCCTGCAGCCCGATCCCGTCCATGCTTGCTCGGAAGCCTAAGCCCCACGGAGTTCAAAGCCGCGCACGCCCTGTTCTTGGGCAAGCGCGAGGCAAAGCAAGCCGAGTCCAAGGGACCTCCTCCTTTAAGGGGGAAAAAAAAGTTTTACGTGCTTCTTAAAGTGCGACTCGGACTACGTTGACTGAGAAGGATTCTCGCCCTCCAAGGCACCCTCCTTTGGGTTTAGAGAGGAATTGGAGGGAGACGACGATCCCGACCTCATACATTCAGGACCCCAGGCGGAAAATAAAAACACTCCTAGCCGAAACCAAAGGGGTTCCGCAAACACACACACACCCTCCTGCTGCCTTGAGCGCCGCCGCTGAGCCGACCAGTCCTGTCCAGCAGCGACGGGTCTGCAGTGCCCAAGTCCTTCCCCTCCACACACACACACCCTCACTTTCCCGCCCCGGCCTCTTCTTCAGGGCCAGGTCACTCCTGTCGGCCCTTGAAAGAAAGAAGAGCGGGAGGCGGAAGAGAGCCCGACTCGTCGTCGCCACTCTGCCAACGTCCTCACTCCGTGCGCGCCTGCCCGCCTTGCCGAGGCTTGCCAGCCGAGCTTCCCCGGCGAGGACGGGGGGGGAGGACTTCAAAGACTCACCGGAGGAATCACCGGAGAGAGGGGGAGGGGAAGCGGAAAGGGGGAAGGGGGAAGGGGAGAGGCGCCTGCTGCTTACCCGGAGGGAGGCAGGCGGGTCGGTGCAGCGCAGGTCCCTCTGTCCATTCCTCTCCCCGGCGGCGGCGGCGGCGGCGGAGACGAGCTCCAGGTGGAGCCACGGAGAAGGGCGGGCTCCCGGCTGACCCTATGGCGTGAAGGGAACGGCCTCTCCAACACAATTCCCGGGCGGTGGGGACGGCGCCGGCCTCCTCCTCCTCACCTGTCTGGCAATCCCCGGGGG